TGATTCAGTGACTGGGGTAATCGGAAAGGGTGTGTCAGAGGCAATGTGATTGGCACAGGATAGAGCAGGGTTTAGGGCTGTTGTACATAGGGTCGTTATGAGTCGCAAACGACTCGATGGCACATAACAACAACAATTGTGATTTTAATGAAAGTTTACAGAAAAGTTGGATTTTCATTCAATCATTGTTGCACATTTTCCTCCCTCCCCCAGTTCACTTTTTTTTTTGTTTTTGTAATATTCATTCATTTTTGCACAATTTCTCCCCTCCCCTAGTCCTCTTTGCAATGTACCTTTTATTCTGGATCATTATCTGACATATAATGCCTAATCATATATTCTTTTTAAAATGTTCTCACCCTCATCTGTTCTAATATACTGTTCATTATTTATCAAATCTCTTCCTATTTTTCTTCAAACCCCCCATGTCTGTCCTGCTTTATACCAGTAGTGTTATGCAGTATTTGTCCTTTTATAACTGACACATTTCATTCAGCATATGAGCACCATGGTGACCCATGCTGTGTAATGTTTTACAAATTATGGTTTTATGGGAAATGACAGCCTTTTTAACAAATGGTGTTGGCCAAATTGGAAAACAAGTTCATGGTTTATCAGTGCTGCATAGTATTCCATTGTGTAAATATACCGTCATTTTTCCATCCATTCATTTGTTGATGGACACATAGATTGTTTCCATCTCTTTGCTTTTGTGAATAACACAGCAATAAACATGGATGTGCACACATCTGTTTGGATGGCAGTCTGGTTTCTTTAGAGTATATTCCCAGCAGTGCAGTTGCTGGGTCAGATGGTATTTCTGTTTCCAACTTTTTGAGAAAACACCAAACCACCTTCCACAGTGATTGAACCAGAAACTTTCTTCTTTCAAATGCTTCTTGAATAGCAATATTGAAGATGACAGCTGACAACAAATGCTAGTAGGGGTATGGAGATATTGGAACTCTCATGCACTGCTAAAGGGAACATAAAATGGTCACGCAACCATTATGGGAAGCAGTTTGCTACTTTTTTATAAAATTGCAAATAGAAACACTATTTGAACGAACAATAGCACCACAAGGTCAGTATCTCCAGGAAACAAGAGCTGCTACACAAACTAACATGCACATGTCTATGTTTATTGCATCATTATTTACAATAGCCAAGAACTGAAGAGCAACAATGTTAGTCTAGAGACTAAGGTGCACCTGATCCAGGTTATAGTCTTTGCAATTACTTACTATGCATCAGGAAGCTGGACAATGACTAGGGATGATAGAAGGAGAATTGATGCCTTTGCGTTGTGGTGCTAAAGAAGAGTACTGAATATACTGTAGACTGCTAGGAGAACAAATAGGGTGACCAGAGAGAGGGTGAGACCAGGCGGCTCCTTGGAGACAAAGATTCTGAAGCTTCATCTAACATACTTTGGACATGTTGCAAGGGGGGACTAGTCCTTGGAGAGGGATCTCATGTTTGGGAGGACAGAGCAACAGCACAAGAGAGGAAGACCCTCAATGAGATGGATTGATTCAGTGACTGGGGTAATGGGGATAGGTATGTAAGAGACAATAAGATTGGTACAGGATAGAGCAGGGTTTAGGGCTGTTGTACATAGGGTCGCTATGAGTCGAAAGTGATGGCACATAACAATAAGAACTAGAAATTACCAGGTACCCACGAACAGGCAAGTGGCAAAAGAAACTATGATACATTCACACAATGGAGTACTACACTGCACTAAAAATAAGAATTTGTATAATACTGCACCACATGGATGGAGATAGAAAATGCTGAATGACATAAATGCATCACAAAAAGACAACTATGGTATTGTACAACTAATATAAAAAGCTAAAGAAAGTTTACAGACAGAATCAACCTTGGAGATTTGGAAATGAGAAGGAATGGGAAAAGGAGTCGAAATTAACAGATCAAACAGATAAGTTGGGTAAAGGGGAAAACAGATAATGTAATTATAATTAAACCTTGTAATTAATTTCATCATTTAATTGTAATTAATGTTATAAAACAAAATTCCTTTAGATGAAAAACCATTATGATTTTAAGCTCATTTTAAAAATAACTTTAAAATGAATGTTAAAATACAAATAAAAAATAAATGTACCTTAGTGTCAATAGTAGTAGAGGGGCTTCAAGCATTTTGTTCATAGGGTTGCTATGAGTCGTGCTTGACTCGAAGGCAATCAACAGCAACAGCTTTAACCCATATACTAAATTATTAAGGTTATAAGTAAGCAGTGTTACTATTGTTTTTGTTGTTATATGCTGTAGAGTTGGAACCAGCTTATGGTTGACTCTCCAGTGGGTTTTCAGAGTCTCTAAAATGATGGGAAGAGATTGGCCATCATTTTCCCTAAGAGCAGTTGGTAAGTTTGAACTGCTTACCTTTGGTTTGGCAATGCAACTCTTTACCACTCAGTCACCAGAGCTTTCTAGTAAGACTGGTAACTAAATTATTTTAAACAGTTCAAGAGCTTATAAAAACTTTTGTTGAGAAGCATATTAAAAAAAGAAATTATGCTCTTCATTTTATCCTAACCCCCACAGAAAACATGAAGAGCGGAAAGCCAGTATATTAAATTTCTAATCTACACCCATTAATTCTCTGACATGGAGTTTCTGTGCATCATAATCAACTTAGGTTGGGGTTTTTGTGTTGGAGTGGTTTTTTTTTCTCTCTTTGTTTTGGCATTAATAGCTAGATTGATTAGAGGAAAATAAACCTAGATCATTTCAGAGGCAGTGACAAATTTTAAGTTTCTAGAAGAAGATCCCTGATGAGTTGAATTGACACAGCAACTGGGGTAATGGGTGTCGGAGGTAATGAGATTGGCTCAGGATAGGGCAGGGCTCAGAGATTGTGTGCAGGGGCACTATGAGTTGTAGTCGACCTGATGGCAGATAACAACAGCAGCAGCAGAAAAATATGATTGTAACAGGAAAGGAGAAAATTCAGTGGTTTTAATGCAGCCTCTTAAGAGTTTGGGAAATAAACAGAGATAGGTCTAGGAATAAATACTCTCCTGGTCTCTGGCTTGAGTATTTGAGAAGGTAATCGAACCATTAACCAAAACAGAAAGTAAGGAGAACAATTAGGAAGTACCCCACAGAGAAATATTTGTTGAGGAAAATGATTCATTGATAAATTTAGAAAAGTACCACAGGGGAGTTGTATACTTCTAAATCTTGATAATACCCATTTCTGCTTATATTACAGTGCGATTTGGAGGGAATTATGCCAAACGTTACCGTCAGCTTGAGTCTCCCCACCAATGGATCGCCACTTCAGGATATTCTAGTTCATCCTTGTGTGACTTCCCTTGACTCTGCCATTCTGACATCTAGTAGTATAAACACAATGGATGATTCTGCTTTTAGTGGACCTTACAAATTTCCATTCACTCCCCCTTTAGAATCATTCAACTTGTGCTACTATACTTCTCAGGTAAATAACCTCAGAAAAAGTGAGACTTTGCTAAGCTTTATATTTCTGAATACTGTTGATAAATAAATGATTTATACTTTTATGCTAAATGATAATTTCTCAAGATTATTTACCAGACAAGACTAAGTGAATTCAGATGAAAATTCAATTCTTTCTACTTTCTGGTGTTTGTAATAGCAATAAATGTTTTACAGAGTCATTGAATTCTTTTTCTGTGTGTTCCCTGATAAGGAATCCACACTCAAAGTATAGATCCTATTGTGGCTTAGTCATGATTTGAATTGTGAGCATAAAATCCTACTAATCTCAAGTAGCTGTAGTTGCATATATAAAATTAATAGCTAGTTTTCAGTTATTGAATAAATGCCGTGTTAATTAGCATGTGGGTTTCAACCAAACTTTTTCAACCTCCAGACTCTCTTAAGTACCATTTGTCTCTAGTCCTAGCTGTGAATCAGCACCCAAGCTAAGTAAAGTAAAAGAAATTTTGAAAATGAAATAAACAATCAAATTATCAGTCAAAGATAAGAAAAAAGTAGAGCCAGGCTGTATTGGGAATAGAAGCAACAAATAAAAATTAAAATCACTCTAAACTTAAGGTTCAATGTCTGTCTGATCTATGCTTCTCAATCTCCTTTTTTGACTGGCTTTCTTTGCTTACACATAACTTTCCAGCCCTGTGGCCTGTGCTGTATAAATAGAGTCTCTCTGGGTCTTGCTTAAATGTTCCAGAAAGAATCACATTAGCTCATATCGGCCTATAGATTATTTCCTCTTTAATAAGGTGGAGATAATCAAGTAAGCTGCTCCTCAGCTAAGGTATTAAATGGTGTCGTGGTGTTGTTGGTGGTGTTGATTGCTGTCAAGTCGAACACAATTCATAGCAACTTTATGAACAAAAGACCTAATGCCTTTCCATGATTATTGTCATTTCTCCAAGTTCATAGAGTTTCCAGGCATGTGGTTTAGGAAGTGGATGCCACTCCTGCTTCCAAACCCATCTTACAACTGGGAGCTCCACCAAACACTGTCCACACTGGGAAACCATTATGGTATTTGATACCCCAGTGGTACAAGGTTCAGCATCACGGTAAACCCAGGTTACTTCATACTGCACTTTGACAAAGAAAGATGTGCAAAGTGGAAGAGTGTTCCTCCAGATATAAAAGCACTAGTATCATTTAGCAGTGGTTAAGTGTCATCAAGTTGAATACGACTCAGAGTAAGCTTTGCACAAAAGACCTGAACTCTGTTCTGTAACTAACATCATTTCTGTATAAGAACATGGTTGGGATGGTGGAGGGCAGGCAAAGGAGGGAAAGGCCCTGTAGGAGGTGGATTGATTCGGTGACTGGGGTAATTGGGATGGGTGTGTCAGAGACAGTGATATTGGCACAGGACAGAGCAGAGTTTAGGGCTATTGTACATAGGGTCGGCGACTCGACAGCACATAACAACAACAACATGGAGTTTAGAGAGAGGGCTACAGTATACAAATGAGGCAGCAGGAACCCTGTCAGGGAAGCAGTGATCATAATGTGGTGATGGTGTTAGGCACCACAGCTTGATAAGGACTCATAGTGACTCCATGAACAACAGACTGGAACCTTGCCCTACCTCCACCACCCTTACAATCTCCCATATGCTCAAGCACATTGTTGTGGTCACTATGCCGTCCAGCTCTTTGCTGGTCTTCCTCTCTTTCATTGACCTACTTTCTCCAGCATAATGTCTTTTTCCAGAGTAAGTTTCACCATCTTTGTTGTATCCTGGTTGCACTTTCTACGTAGAACAGATTTGTGTGTTCTTTTGACAGTCTGTGGTATATTCAGTACTCTTCACCCACACCATAATCCAAAGGCATTGATCACAGTAGTGCATAGTCCATGTTGCAGGTCAGAGAGAACTTGAACAAGCAAGAGTGGGAAAAAGAATGTATTGCTTACATTTATATGACACCTTTCTCATTACTAAGAACAAGGGAAAATTCCTTGCAGACATAGAATAAACATAGATCACTGTAGGGCTTTTTTTTTTCTTGATCACCATTGATAGATATTTTAGATCCATTAACCTGAGAATCATGTAAAAATTTATTTATGTTTGTTTCCAGGTCCCTGTCCCACCTATTTTGGGATTTTATCAAATTCAGGAAGAAGTCCAGTTAAAAATAACTGTTAATTTAAAACTTCATGAAAGTGTGAAAAATAATTTTGACTTCTGTGAAGCTCGTATACCTTTTTACAATAGGTAGGAGGAATAAAATAACATACCATGATTTCTGCCTTCATTAGTCCATTCACACTGCCCCACAATGAACAGTTCATCTTTTTTTTTTTTAATTGTTATTATTTTTGCGTGTGTACCGTCAAATCAGATCTGACTGGTACAGGAGCAGATTGCCCCTCCTTCTCTGCTGGATGCTCTGCTGGATTCGAACTACGTACCTCTTGGATTTCAGTGCTGCTTCTTGCCAGTGTACCAGAGCTCCCCTACCAGTTCATCTTTTTTTACCTTATGTTACTAGCTAAATATTTTGTTACTCAAATGATTGCTGATTCTGAACCAATGCATAGTCTTAACAATAATCTCATTAATTGCATCTTCATTTTTCTGGTTAAATTGCTAGTAAAAAAATCTTAATTCATCAGAGCTTCCTCAAGGAGTATTTCACTACTCAATTTATTTTGATAATTACCTGCCTATGGAGGCCACCTGGTGAATTAAGTCAATTATATCGTAAGATAACTTCCTCATCATTTCTACTTTTAAATTTAATCTGAAGCATGTTAATATTGTTAGGTCAAATCCACTATCTTCAAAGCAACTCTATAAACAGATCCCAGTGTTAAAGTCATAGTGTCAGTCCGTCTTGTTCAGGGTCTTCCTGTAAGCAATATAGTTCTCCTCAAGTATACTCAGATATAGTGTAATCATAGTTTAATGTTATATATGTCAACTTATATGAATGTATAAAAATGTTCATATAATTTTATAGTTTTCTTTATGCTTAATAATGAAATCTGTATCATCCCAGGAACTTTTCAGTGGCTTCTCTTGTGTTTTGAGATTTAAGGCTCATTATTTGCTCAGCTTCATTCTGTGAACATAAATTCTGACCTGTTTTTGTGCTGCTGTTGTATTAAGTAAGAATAACATGATTTGACTTCCATCTCTTAAAGCTATATACCTATCATCATTTTTTTCTGTCTTTTGTTTTTGAAAAAAGAGGTCCAATCACACATGTGGAATACAAAGTTAGTTTTGGCCAACTTGAAGTATTTAGAGAAAAAGGCTTATTGATCTGGACAATTGGTGAGTTGAGTTTTACTTATTTATTGATTTTCTTCCTGCATCTTCTTTACAATCTACTTAATTCAGGATAATTGGGTGGTGTATTTGTGTTTTAGGTTTTTAAAAATTGTGATTTGAGTGAAAATTTACAAATCATATTACTTTTTCAATCAATCATTCATGCATGTTTTATTCCATACCATTAATCATTGTACACACAGAGTCTTACCTTCCATTCATTGCAAATTATATTTGTGTTTTTAGGCCAAAAGTTCCCAAAATCAATGGAAATTACTCTTTCTGGAACTGTAACTTTTGGGGCAAAGAACCATGAGAAGCAGCCATTTGACCAGATATGTATTGGAGGTACAGCATATGTAAAGGTAAATATATGGTTCACATCAAAAATTTGGGTCCTTAGTGTATAAAGAACTTATAAATGTATTTATATGGCTCACTGCTATCCAAAACTGTCTTAGACCAAACTAAGAATTTTTTTAATTGCTAGAATACATTAAGAAACAACTGACTGACATCCAAGCAGATATATGCACACCCATGTTTATTGCAGCTTTGTTCACAATAGCAAGGAGTTGGAAACAACCTAAGTGCCCATCAACAAACGAATGGCTAGAGAAGCTGTGGTATATTCGCACAATGGAATACTATGCTGCATTAAAAAACAAGGAACTCATGCAATATTATTCAAAATGGTTGACTCTGGAGAACATTATGCTGAGTGAAATATCCCAGTCACAAAAGGACAAATATTACATGCTGCCACTGTTGTAGAATGGGACTGTCCTTGGGGTTGGGGAGAGACTGAGTAAGATGGGTTCAATAATGTATACTGCACTGAAACAGAGGAGGGAGAAAACTGTTTAAAAGAGATATATAACTAAGTATTTCTGTCATCACAGGAGACTAGAGCGAGGGCTACATGGTGGAGGGGACCTGGGGGAGGATTTGTAAAACAATGAAAGAATCTTTTCTTTTACTTTTCCATAATTTTTGGACTCATGTACTTATAACTTGTTAGTCAAATTTGTGTCTTCTAGGTTGCAACACCCCCATGATACATCTTCAAGGATATGAACATGTACGGCCAAGCACAATCAATAAGAGTGCATCTAAATTCCAAAATCAATCTCCATAATAGTCTTTGTGTTTCCTACTGCCAAAGGGGCCCTTTAGAGTAGTGAGAGAAGATCTTCACCCTGAAACCCACAGCGTCCCTTTTCAGCAGGAAGTAGCTAAGAGAATACGCCATCCCCTTTTCCTTATGAATCAGGGTGAAGTCTCTCTCAGGGAGGAGTGATAGGGAATGGCAAAGGACACACTGACAAAGAAGATTAATCAGAACTGGCTTTGACAAGCACTGTGGCATTTGGACAAGAACAAACTGGGAGGAGGGTAGAGAGAATAGTTCAACAATGAATGAATGGAAACCCAAAATCTCTGTAAATGTTTATGAAAATTAATAAAATATAATTATATATAAAAAAAAGAAACAACTGACTAGAAAACAAAGGACTATAGGGGTGTTGTTTTTTTTTTTCACTACAATTTTTTTTAAAAAAGAGTTTTTGATCTTTTGTCGTTTTGTGCCATCAGGTCAAAACCCACTCACAGCAGGATTTTAAGGCTATAAATTGCTTGGAAGAATGCCCATCTTTTTCCTGAAGAGTAGTTAATGGTTTTGAACCACATGCCTTTGGATTGGCAGCACATCTCCTTCCCCCTAGGCCACCAGAGCTCCCTGAGTTTTTTAGAGAATTAATGGTGGAGTGAGGACTAGGATTTTATTCTGCTGGCTTTCAACTCATTGGGTTTCAAATATTTCCTTCATTTTTTTAAAATTGTAGTGAAAATTCATATTCCTTTGCTTTCTATTTTGTTAATTTTTAATATTTTCTAGCAATTTAAAAAAAATTCTTTCTCTTTGTTTGGACTTAGCTATTTTTGGATTTCTGTAGGATTCTTTTTTGCTTAGTAGTAATTCTTCTCTGTTCCATTAATACTTAGAAAATATGTCCATAAAACCTTCTTGTTGTTTTGTGCACTATTAAGTCAGCACGGGAGGAGATTGCCCATCTTTCTCATATAGAGTGGCTAGTGAATTAGAACTGTGTGCTTTTAGGATTGCAATGCAGTTTCTTACGACTAGGCCATCAGAGCTCCTTACATATAGCCTGAATATTCAAATACCCCAATTAACCTGGTTTTTACCAGCTCTTAGGTTTTACAGACACATTTTATATATAGAAAATATAAGATATATGTAGTCCTCGCCCACTGGGTGTTTATCAGTGGCACATATCAATGATTTTTCTGTGCTAAGCTGCTTTTGGTGTTCTAAAGATAGAATGAGCACTTCCAGCAAAGTGATTGAGGAAAGCTTTACTACAAAGTTGAAACAAAACTGTGAGGCCAAAAAAAGCATAAAGCTTTGAAGAATGGTTGTCATTTGAATTGAGGAAATGACTTATCAAAGGACTGAAAAACAGTAAACAACCATGTTCAGAAACCAGGACAGGAACAATAGTAACACATAAAACAAGATCAGTGATTTACTTCTGGATTTTAGATCCTTTTGGCAGAAATTACTGTGCTTTTTTTGTTAAGGACATTGGCTCATAAATTTATGCTTTATAAAGATAAGTTCAAAATGGGCTAAGGGTACTTGAAAAGCCAAATTCACTGTCATTGAGTTGATTCTGACACTTAGTGATCCTATAGAACAGAGCAGAACTGCCCATTGGGTTTCTGAGGCTGTAAATCTTAATGGGAGCAGACTGGCCTCTCCCACATAGCACCTATAAATTCAAGCTCCCAACCTTTCATTTAGCAACCCAGCACTTAACACACGGTGCCACCAACGTGCCAGTTGAAAAACTAGAGGCAACCAAAATCATTTTATAGCTATGTCAGTATTACAGAAAAAAGATCAGTTGTTGATGCTGGGTTTATGCAGTGTCAGCAACAAAGCATCAAATCATCAAAAAAGAGAAGGCGGAGACTGCTGTAAGAACTGCAATCAAGACTAACACTGTGCCACTAATTAAATGTGGCACAAGAAAGCACTCTAAGTCAAAGATGATGCTATTCAAAAATATATGCAGTTAACCCCAGTTTTATAAGAAGGCAAGGACTTGATAGGCATTCCATTGTTTTATCCCCAACAGCTAGAAGGCAAAGGCTTCATATGCATTCCATTGTTTTATCCCCAACAGCTAGTGCTCTACCTAACCCATTAATATTTTTAATGAGAAAATGTACCTCAAGTACAGTAATGACCTGGAGAAAATGGACTTAATATTATCTAAATTGCTGACAATAGCAACATATTCCAATGCAAGTGACTAGTAGATAGCTAAAGACCTAAAGCTTGATTTTTTTTTTAATGGTTTCTGGTGTTTTTTTACATTATTATTATTATTATTATTATTGTTATTGTTGTTATGTGTGTACCATCAAATCAGATCTGACTGGTACAGGAGGAGATTGTCCCTCCTTCAACAAAGCATCTGGTGGATTTGAACCACATACCTCTAGGACTGCAGTGCAGCTTCTTGCCACTAGGCCACTAGAGGTCGCCAAAGCTTGATTCTTAAGGGAGAGCTCAACTAGACATAGAATGTAGAAGCTCTTCATAGTCAAAATGATTGAGGAGTCAGGTGAACCTGTGAAGGACATTAAAGGTACAACCAGAAAGGTAACAAGGAAGCCAGACAAGGATCATAGTATGTATATCAAAGAAGAAAGTGAAATTTTTACATAAGGGCATTTCAGCACAGTGGTAGTGAAGAGCACTGGGGATACTCATTTCTTGTCATCTGTGTTCGGTCTTTGTGTTCTAAAAAAGTAGAATAGCTCACTCACTCCACACACCAAATAAACTAGTTTTTCTGTTTCACTAATTGCATTATATGTTTTGCTAGAAAGAATGTGTGTTCTTGCCTGCTATGAAATATATCACAACAAACAGTCCTCCATATAGAAGAGAATACTGTATAGGGGAAGGAGGACAAGCATTTGTAGTCAGGCAGATCCGAGTTCAAATGTCAACTCTGCTTTGTACATGCTAGAGTGCTAATTGTGTGTGCATCTGAAGTTCACTTAGCTTGGTCATTGAACGAATTATGATTCCAATATTCTCCTGTACATAGGGTTGCTGTGAGTTATAACCAACTCTACAATACCTAACCATAATTCCTACCTTGCAATGTGGATTAAGAACCCAGGTAGTTCAGTGCTAATTAAAAGGTCAGCTGTTGAGTTCACAAGTTGCTCATTGGGAGAAAAGCATGACAGTCTAGTGTGGAAATCGTCCATAAAGATGTACAGCCTTCAAAACCCTATGGAGCAGCTCTGCTCTATCCTACCCGTGTGGTAATGAGTTGGAATCAGCTCTGGCAGTGGATTAGTTGATTGCCAGTGTGGATTAGAGTTCATGTTAAGCAAATGTTTGATATATGTTAAGCACTTCAAGATGGGAACCTTTCCAAGAAATGGCCCTAATGTAATGGGAGATGTGTATGTATTCATAAAAGTAATCACACACAAAATACAAATTTAATGTCTTTAATTCCTTTATTGTACATTGTATAAGCTCCCTACCAAGGGAACAAATGTGACCAGCATCTTTACCAAATAATCACCTTAATTTGGTACTTTCTCTCCTTTTTCTAGCTTCACTTTAAGATCTTAGATTATACACTCACTGGATGTTATGCAGATCAGCATTCAGTTCAAGTTTTTGCAACAGGAAAACCAAAAATAAGTACACGTAAGTTGTATAGATTCTAAGTGAAATAGATGCTGCTGTGCCATTGTTACTCAATGCATATTTAAATGCAATAAAATTTAGAAAATGCTAGCCTGATCCCATACCTGTGTAACAGCTTGTGTATTTTACATTGTGTCCTCTGTCTTCTCATGGGTATAATGGCTTAAACGAGCAATCATGATAGTCAAAGGCTTTAGTACAAGGTTGAATTTCTTTTGCTCTCGCTATACTAAGTAGATTTTTTTTTTTTTATTCAGAGCTCACGAGGCCATAGGTATTAAACAGGTAAAGATTTGATCTGGTTCAGACACTTTATTATCTTTGTAACCTCGGGCAAGTTAATGAACTCAGAGTTTTAGTTTCTTCATCTATAAAACAGAAATAATATTCTTTACATCAGAATTGTTAAGAGGTTTAAGTAAAAGCCCAGAATTTAGTATGATGCTAATAAGCATACAGTAAGTAGTCAATAAATGTTAGATATTATTATAATAGAAATATTTTAAATATTTTTACTAAATCTGATGTCCATAAACATGTAATTAGCACTTTCTCTGCTTAACTACATACTCCTTGGTTGTTATTAGCTGACTTTGAGTCTGCCCCAAACTCTCAGACATCCCCGAGCTATAGAGTAGAAATGCACTACAAGACCAGAATCTTTGCCAAAGCCATTTGCCAGGCCTTTCTTCCATAGAAAGGGTGACTTAATGCTGCCCACCTTTAGATTAGTAATCAATTCTTTTTTATTTACTTTTTTTATTATTAATTTTAATGAAAATTTACAGACACTTTGTATTTTCATTCATTCATTGTTGCACTTT